TCGAGCAAGTCGAATGAAAAATTCATGTTTAAATGCATATTTGTCCCGTTATTTCAAATGAGTAACAGAACTAAATACAATATTTGGAATATTATTTCCAATGTCAACGTGACAATGAAACTTAAGTGGAAGTGAAAAAATGGGACATAATATTTTGTAAGGGTCAAAATAATCTACGATAGAAGCCATCGGTCGATGTTCTTTATTTGTGAATGTTCGTTGAATATCATTATTAGATATACGAATAGCTGGATCAGAATTGATATTTGGAGAAGCGATATAAACTGTAAATGTATGAACTTGTGGTATATGCATAAGAATTTTATTATCGAGATAAGTGCCAAATCCTTCGATGCTACGATAACATGTTAATGAGAAATATTTTAAATTAGGTAGACTAACCTAAAAAATAGAAAGCAAATATTTATACTTCATTTTTATCAGTTGAGGTATGAAATAAATTCATATGAACCATTATCAATAAATATTATTCATTTTCAAAATTCTATGAAATATATTTTATTATCTTGTAATAATGACTACTTTGTATTTGTTAACTTAAGATGCATAGAGACGTGTAAACAATTCGATAAAATCATCAAATATTATATAGGAATGCATTTTCTTAACATATTGCGTTAGTCAAGAAAATGAAGCTTTAAAAAACCTCATCAGATTAAAGTGTTTATGTTGGAACTAACTATATATTTTATTTTGTTTGAATAGATAAGTCCAACATAATTAATGGGATAGATTTAGAACAAAATATGCTGTATCAGGTCGTTTAATAACGACAATGATTCATTAATTATTTTCAAATGAATAACGATTAATTATGAAATAATCTCGAATAACCCCAAAACGATTTTTTTTTTCAGATTATTTTCTGATAATCAAAAATTAAACATCGTGTTTACTAATGTAGACATCTTATTGTTTATTGAACTTCGAATTATTTCAACTTAAACGATGAATCTAGTTAATTGTTTTAGACGACCATCAAGTAAAGCATCAATATCATTAAAATCATTTACGTTGATACATAATTCAGTCAGTATTGAAGAAGAAAAAGATGTTGGCGGTAAAAAATATAACGACAAGCGTGGATAATTGTTGACAGATGATAGCACACTAGTAAAATGCTTTAGATTTTTCAAGAAAGCAAAAATAATTGCGTAAGCATTCTTGGTATACTCTTTTTGATAAGAGTGAGATTTGTAATTTATTTTTTTACAAATATGTCCAAAGAGAGAATCGTCTAAATAAAATACAT